AGATCCCATCCAACTCACGTGGATTTGTGGGGCCAGGTGCGAGGGAGGATATCGCTAGGTGCCCCCAGGTTGTGAGGCCACGTCACAGGGGGCAGACGTCACCACTTCTGGAGCCAGTGGGTGCCAGGAGACAGGACATGGTCACTGCGGTCATCCCACAGCGGCCTGAGGTGCCCTGAAACTTCAGGTCCCAACAGCCTGACCTACAGGAAACAACACAAACTGGGGGTCTAAGGGAAATAAACCCGGTGGATTTTCTTTTTGGTTTTGATCTATGCAAAAGTAAAGACCCTGCCCCAGGTGAGCCTGTGGAGCAGACACAGCTGCTGCAGCGCACTTTGGCCCCAAAGGACAGCAGGCGGCCAAGCTGAGAGGGAAGTACCCATAAAGAGATGTTATGAACACATGAATAGGTGTTAGCTCCTCTCCAGACTCTCTGAGCATCACCTGGTTTCCCAAAATAAGCCTGTGGAAGCCAATCTACTTACATCACTACACAGTGGTCACGTACGCCGGCACTTCAACAGGCTGCTCTCTCTTTCGCAGTCGTCCTTCCCCTTCTTTTCCACTTCCTGCCCCTGTCTTCTGTTTTGTCTTCTGAAGCTTTGAATCTCAGCTTCAGTCCAGCAAATGGTTTTCACACCTGCCTGTGGTTTCCAGGGCGTGGCAGGAAAGCGTCTCCCTGAAGGAGCTGCAGCGCAGAGGCGTCTGTTTGCTAAAACTCCAAGCTGCCAACCAGAGAACCGGCCTCTACGGACGGCTGCTTGTGACGTTTCAGCCCAGAAAATACGATTCAGATGCCGAGCTGCCCTATAACAGTTTTGGGCCTGGTAAGTGACATCCCTGTTGGTGTGGCTTAGGTAAAGTAAGAGATGACCAAAGTCTTCCCTGACATCTTTAAATGTAGTGTTTGTAAAGACAGAGCAGCTGGCACCAGAAAGAGAAAGGGAGAGGATGGTATTGCTACAGGTTGAATCTAGAGGAAAACAGCCTCTTTTTTTCTCAGCTTGCTACAGACATACATGTTGCACCAGGAATGAGTGCTGGTGATTAAAGAGCTGGCTTTCCTCCTTCTGAACCCACAGAAACAAACCCCTGGATTCCTTGTCATTAAAGATCTCATGGCATTCTTTGTACAAGTCAAGCTGTTCATGCGTATGTCTTACAGTAGGTAAAAAGCTTTTGTCACTTACTCTTTAATTGCAAAATGGAAAATGGATTTTCCTTTTCCTTCCCAAGTTGCCACATTTCCATCCTTCCAGCTGGTGAGGAAGAGACAGCACAGGTGAGACCTGTGGTGTGTGGAGGCAGCTGGTTACTCACTCTGGTGTCTTCTCACCACTAGTTGTCCTTTTTCTCCCTCTTGCTGCGTGCTCTGTCAGCCAAGAGAAGGATATTCTCCTTTGTTGTGGGCTGGACACAGCTCTGGCCTTGGCAGGGGGTGGGTGATCCCGCTGTCGGCTTTGGGCCGTGCAAGTCTCCCCAGAAGAGCTTCTTTCCAAAATGCTTGCCCTGCCTCACACTCGCTTTTCAAACTCGTATGCAGGGGACATCGTGGGCCTTTACGATTCCGCTGGCCAGGGCGATCCGCTCTCCACAGGCATCGTCACGCGCGTCACCTCCAGAGCAGTGACTGTTGCCTTTGAGGAATCCCGTGATGGCCTGCTGAGCGTGGACCGAGACGGCTCCTACCGCCTGCTGAAGTTGGCCAACGACGTCACCTACAACAGGCTGAAAAAGTAAGGGCCACGGGGCTGCAGTTCACCAGCGGTTGCTGCTCAGGAGCGCAAAAGCCAATTGAAAATTGCCAAAGTTATTCTGGAAAAGCTCTCCTGAGGCAGATCTGGGTGTGCTTCACCAGCCTTGTTTTCTCTCCTTGCCTGCCTTATTCCTCTTAGTCCCGTAGCAGCTCCACTTAGGGGAGGTGGCCACGTTTTGGATGCGCCTTTCTTGTTCTGCTCGTTGCTGAGGGAAGCCCTGCTGAGATATCTCAGTTGGATAAGTTGTGCTACAGCGTCACAACAGCCTGGACGTAGCTGCTGGCTGGTTTCATCCTGCTCTTCCCTCTTTGGCCCCACACCTAGCTACATATTTTGGTCCCGTGTTGTTGTTGTACCACCTCTGGTACTCACAGTCTTCTGTCACTGGGCCCTAAGGTGCATGGGAATCTCTGCAGGAATTCATGCTCTGATCGTAACCTGGCAATTTTCTTCTGTGACAGGGCTTTAAATGCACTCAAGCAGTATCGTGGTGGTCCAGCCTCAGATCTCATCGACATCCTCTTCTTTTCTTCTGATCCGAGCGCATTTGGTGAAACAAGTAAGGATGCTTCTCTATAAGATTTTATACCAGACTGGTGGCAGGTGCTGGGTTGATCTTTCTAGAGAAATTTCCTGCACCCTCAGGGTCCGAGTCCCTGGACTTACTGCCAAGCACACGCATCGAGACTGCTCCTGGTTTTAATCTGTCTGGGTGTGTGAAGCTGAGAACCACGAGGTGGTCCAGGAAAGACCCAAGTACTGAACGTGAATAATACTTAATGGTGCAGCTGGCAGTATGGAACCCTTACTTTTCGTGCTGGTTTGTGGGTCACTGGACACACTCTGCTCATGTAAAGGCCCTTGTGATGCTGGAAGAGAGACCATTCAGCTAGCTGACGCTCCCTTTTCTCAGCGTGCCAAGTACAGCTGAATTCTGGCATAAAACAGGCAGAATTTGCAACGAGGAAATTTGTTTGCCCACATTCATGAGCCTGAAATTCAATTTAGTTTATGAGGCATTTCTTATTTTCTTCCTGCCCCAATACCATCCATAAACTTCGAATATCAGAAACTGCCAGCGCAGCTGAAAATCCAATAACTCCACCTTTGTGGGAATTAAGTGACTGTGGAGCTACTGCAGTTCCAAACAGCACGGGAACACTTGTATTTTTGTTTTTACAGCTTCCTGATTGCGTTCAGTCAAGTTGGAAATGTGCAGGCTGCTTTGCTTTCCTCAGATACTTAAAATCCCACAACTTGGCAGCTGTCAAAAAATTGCATATAAGTCGAATCCCCTTTTACTCAGATCCTTTTCCATGGAAGTCTGTGGAATAACAAAAGATGAAATCACGCAGCTCCCCCTTTCAGACAAACCGTGGGGAAACCAAAGCTGCTCGGCTTCCTCCCCCCAGCCCCTTGCACTCTGGGCTTGCTGATGCAGCTTTTCTCTTGCTTTGGGTGCTGTGTCTCGTTGTCCACAGTGACTCTCCTCTTTCATACACGCTCCCATTCCCCTGCGGTTCACTCCAGACCAGGCTTCTGACACCGTACACCAAGGATGAAGAATTAATGTCAGTGTGAGTCGTAGCTCTAAGTGCTGAGCTTAGTCTCAGTCGAACCTTTTAGCCTTTTGGCTACCGAGGGACCTTGGGTTTTTAATATTAGATAAAATAATTAAATGTTAATGAACTCACTTTCTCAGCAGCTTCGACTCCACATTTTTCCTTGTGGAAGCAGTGCTGCCTCTCTAATGAAGAGAAAAAAACCCTCCTTTTCACCAAATCGCTCAGATGTGCCCAACCAAGCACAGAGATGAGTTGTTTGTTTCCCCAGCACTGAAAATAGGGATGGATAGAAACTTCAAACAGACAGAGGAGATGCAACATGAGAAAGCAGCACATCACCCGAGAGCAGCAAAACGCTCAGGCAGGGAGGAGAGGCTTTCCGTTTGCCTTCTCACTTCAGAGCTCCTTTCTTCTGAACTGGGAAGATGTTACACTAGCCAGGAATTAAATAATAATGGCTTTAACTTTAAATAGGTCCTGCACGGTGCCTTGAACTGCCGGCCTCCGCTGAGCTGAGGGGGAGGGCACTCAGCAGCTGGCTGAATAAATCCTGTTTGATGGCACGTGCTGTTCCCCAGGCGTCCTGTACACCGCAGGACACGGGCACGTGTCTGCAGACAGCTCAGAAACTTGGCCTGCCTGCAGAAGGCAGCAGGTGCTTCCCAGGTGCGTGCACGGACACAGAGGGGTAGAAAAATGTTGCTGCATTTCAGGCTGCTTCTCCTGCGTGACACGGGAGCTCCTTTCCTGACTAAGCATCTTCTAGCCTGGTTTCTTAGGGATGCGCTTCCCTGTGTCTGCCTCATCCCATCCAGTATCTCATTTCAGACAGGCCCATCAGGAGTCTCAGAGTTATTAAGTTCTGCCCATCACATAAACCCACCAGTCCAGACACACGTCTGTATTAACATCAGTCCAGGAGGCAATATAAGCTCCACGTCAGTCAGAAGCCCAGAAAGCCAGGGGTGGGAGTGAGACCATATGAACACCCACCCAGAGAAAACTCTAGCACTGACACTTGTGCAGGGAGAGGGGAAGGCCCAGAGTAGATGAGAGCTATACCTAAAGGGGCAGCATTTGTCACTGTCTGGGGAGCGAAGAAGCGAATTACAAGGAGATGGAGAAGTAGAAGGGTCAGTGGAAATCGTAAGCACCCACTGCTGTGCCTGGATATTCAAAAGTGTTCTCCCAAGGACAAAAGAGGCTCCAGCAAGTGATATGTGCATCAGCAGAATCTTTAATTTTTTTTAAGTATGGGGAAAAAAACTAGAAGCCTCATTTTTTAAGTGTGGGGGTCTCAGGGCTTCTGGGTGGGTTCCGAGACCACTGCACACTTTCACACAGGGTCTAGGGACTTGATGTCAGATTGGTTACAGACTGGCTGGCAGGTGTTAGGGTGGAAGCTGAAAGCACAACAGGTAGAGCACAAGCCTGTGCAAGCGTCGCGTCCTCAGGAGAGCAGGGCTGTGCGTACCCAGGCTGCAGCGAACAGCGCGGGGCGGAACCGCAGAGCACTCACCAGTACTGTGAGACACGAGACGTGGTGGTTCTTTCCAGCTAGTGGAGTCCCAGTGCCATCCTCTGCTCCGCTGCTGGCTGTCCCCCAACACAGAGCCACGTTACCTGGAGGGAGAAGGGAGAAGCGAGAAGCAGCTGGGTGTTTGTTTTTGTTTTTTTTTCTTCTCCAAAAGGCTGGTTATGCAGGGCCCTTCATACCCAAATAGAGATACATTAGCCTCATGGCTTGCCTGGCAAATAGCTTTTAGTGCTGCTTTTTTGCTGCGCTGGGATCTTCTCATGGCTGGCTGCTTGGGTTATCTGGGGAGAGCAGGCTGCCAAACCCTCTGCCTGGAGGATCTATATTAAAGCCTGTAACACCCCAGGAGGGTGCCTAAATCTAGTTGCCGACCGATTAGGTTGACAAGGAGCGTGATAAAGCCAATAGAAACACGGGTTTGAAGTTGTCAGTGGCTGCTGGCATCTCTCCAGCGGATGATATTGGCTTTCTTAAAAGGCCATCAGTACGCACAGAAGGGTAATAATGACAAAACCATTTAGTGCCCTCTTGCCCAGCTCCTGCTGACTGGCAGAGCTGCTGCCACCGCGATAATTTGCACAGCCCCATGAGCCCAGGCTCTCGCATG